TTGTTTAAAAATCCATCCCTGGTCTGTGTGACTTATTATAGGGAATGGTTGGTGGCAGCTTAGTGTAACTGTGTGACATATCCCAGTAGGTCTGGGTTTGTCACACCGACATTTTCAGATGGGTGTGCAGATGGCGTATTTCACCCCAAAGTGTTGGGCAACAAGAAGAGCTGGGTCTCCTTGTAGACACACCACGACCCCCCAGGATTTCTCTTCCACTCTGCGATTCGTCTTCCTGTTTTCATTCCTTGACATCCTCAACCGACATTTTCAGATGGGTGTGCAGATGGCGTATTTCACCCCAAAGTGTTGGGCAACAAGAAGAGCTGGGTCTCCTTGTAGACGCACCACGACCCCCCAGGATTTCTCTTCCACTCTGCGATTCGTCTTCCCGTTTTCATTCCTTGACATCCTCAGTTCTGCACTAAAAGCTGTTTGCGCGTACTGCTGCTGGAGGAGAGGGTCGAGCTTTCAGCCTCTGGCTACCGAACCTGCAGCAGTTCTTGTGCTTGCAAAATTCTCCAGATGTTGCTGCCTCCTGGCAAACAAACCTTGGACTTGACACTTGATTGTAAAGGCAAAAACCAAAAGGGCATGCTTGACCAGGGGGGACTTGCCTATGTCCTTCCATTCTTGAGAACTATGCAACACAGAGAATAATCCTTCCAAATACCTGTCATTAGTGGCATGGAGATGACAAGCATGATTACACTTGCCATAGAGCCCTGCATATCAGGGATAATCCTTGCTTGTTTCCTTCTAATGTCAACAGAGATAAGCTTATTTCATCTGTTTATGCCTTCATTTCAATTAACTCTCCAAGCGAGAACGAGTTATCTCTTGGAGTGGATCCGGTGACAATCCAGAAATGTGTCTTTTCTGCAAGAATCCCATACTTTCTGCCTTGGGAATGTTTTAAGGTAGTCAAGGGGGAAAGCGCAGCATTTTCCAATTTAGCTCTGATTGTAAAGGACAGACTACATTCTGTGTTGCTGCTGCTCGGTCTTAACAAATGGCTTTCATTTTGTGGGAAGACAGTATTATAAGACACTCATATGCACACAAACCAGAAACCATGAATCTTACACCATGGAAATATTGACTATTAGATCTGCCTAGCTGTACGCACACAAACATGCATGTTCTCCTTCTCTGCACATATGTATGTGTGCAGGCGTCTGTCTGTAATTCTAAAGGCACAAACAGGCTTGTAATTAATTAACACCAAGCTATGAATTCCCTCGGATGAAAAAGAGATGTTTACCAAGTGTGTATGTTAAACACTCTTCCCTAGGGAGCAAATGAAGGGATTCCTTTTCATTACATTGGCCCCTTCTCATACTTCGCCCAAACAATAATTATTCAAAGGAGAAAAGAGGGAGAGACTTCGGATCGCAGTCCTCCCACTGTCTCTCCCACAGGAAGCTTAATGAAATGTGTGCGGGAGACACTGCTAGATCCCACGAGGGTCTGTCTTCCCCAAATCAGGCAATCCCTTATACCAATCCCATGTCCTCTCCGTTTCTGAAGAACGTGGGAACATGGCACCACAAAGCACTCCGGGACTTTCTGATGAATACACAGAGGATGGTGTCGCAGGGTCTCCCCCCACCCACCCACATGGGCTTATTTGCAAGCAACGCTCATGTGCCAGAGGGGTGTGCTAGATTACAGGGATGAGCTTGGACTCGGGGGGGGGGGAGGATGAGCTTGTCTTGCCCAAGCCACTGACCCTCATCCTAACCTCCTATTGGGGGGGGGGGGAATGAGCTTGTCTTGCCCATGCCACTGACCCTCATCCTAACCTCCCTCACAGAACAGTTGTGCAGAGCAAAAAAGCCGAAACCACACATTGCTTCCTGAGCTCCTTGCCATTTCTCTCGTGTCATTTGTCTTTGCATTAGACCACTGTCTAATTTACAAGCTGCTTCCTGAGCCAGGCAGCACCCACCTACAGACCCCCCATTATGATGCCCACATGATGGGGCCACTGTGCAAGGGGAGGATCAGGCAGAAGTGGGAGCCTGCTGGCCAGAGATCAGAAGGGAATGGGCTGCCGTCGGCTTCAACCCTTTTAAGCCAACCCACCCTCTGAGAACAAGAGGACTCTTCCCATTTCACAGAGGAAAAAAGCAGCGCCCATCGGCTCCTAATCTGCCTTGTCAGGGGAACGAGTAATATTTGAAACCACAACTCTGCAGTCTAGTAAGACGATGGGCTGGATCATCAAAACAGTGGATGGCTTGGAGCAGAATATTCCAAATTTTTGCCAACATCAGTGCGAAATAACCAGGCGCCTTCCTCCCTTCCAGCCCAGCGTCTCCCTCTCGCTAAGGGCCAGGGCAGCTTGCTGGAGCAGACCGGAGCCTCTTGGAGGAGCCCACTGTCTGGTCTGGAAAAGGAGCTGACAAATGCCTCCAGGAAGCCCACAGCCAAAGCATGGAGGCCACCTTGCCCCATCGCGGGGACGTGGGAGGAACACCATCACCATCAGAGGCAACCCGCCTTGGTATGTGGGTGCCCCACCGTTATCAACAGCCTCCTTTTTCCTCTGGGAGTTTTCCTGAAGCTGCTGAAAAGCTATCCGAGGAAGATGATGTCGCTTGAACTTTGAACCCGTTGGAACGGACCCTGCTTTCTGGAGTAGCAAGAAGCAAGCCTCCTCCATCGATCCACCTGGCAGCCCATCCAAAATGGGGTACCGTCTGTCTTAGCCCCATTCAATTCTTGCTTCTCCAGGCTAAAGACACCAAGCTCCCTCCATCATTTTTGCTCCTCATTAGGCTTGCTCTCCCAGCCTTTAACCATCTTGGTCACCCTCTTCTCGTGGTGTGAAAACCAGGCAGAGATTTCTGTCAGGAAGAGATGATCAGATGAGGGTGTGGACTATCTCAGAAGGTTTTTAACTAGGGGTAGGATGGCCAAGAGTTAGAGGTGCTTTAAAGGTGAGTTTTCTGCCTCTGTGGGGGCTCTGAACGCGGAATTCTGCAGCCAGGTGGTTCTAAGTTATATGAAACCACCAGGAGCCCTGAGGACTTCTGACCCTCCTTATCCAGCTTCAACGGAAGGCACCAAGGGGGCAATAATAGGGGGCAATGGCTAGGGAGGTTTGCAAGTCCAGAACTGAAGAAAAGCACCCCTCTTAACAACCGAAGGGGGAATGACCTCCCAGGCTTAATTTCCAGAGAAGGAGATGCTGGGCAATCCCAGCCAGGCATGGTTAGAAGCCAGCTTCTTGAAGCGCCCCCTCCCGTCCAAAACACCGAGCAGCCCACCTCTCTGCCAAGGCGCTCTCCGATCTCAAAGTCTCTCTCCAAACCCCTGACGGGTCCAGCCTCTTACCCCAGCCAACTCATGGGAAAACCTGGAAGAAGTCTGGGAGGAAAGGACCCCTGCACCTGCTCCGGAGCTCACAAACCCTCCAAATTCTTTTTATTTACCGCTTGGAAGGTCCGTGAACCCTGGGCCCTGATACGGCTCCGTGAGCAGGAGGAAAACCACCCCAGAACACAACCCGGGC